CAGCAGGGAGGGAGGGAGGGAGGGAGGGAGGAAGGAAGGAAGGAAGGAAGGAAGGAAATTATGATTGGATTTTGTTTTTTTTTCTGTTCCCCATTTCATAAGAAATATTGTGTGTGTCATCTGCTATTTAGCTGTAATCACTACTATGCAAAGAAATAATGCCCATCATTGGTCCATCTACCATAATCAACTGTACATTTGGCAGAAAACCCAGCCCCCTGCCCCCAAATAAAGATAGAAGAGTAGAATGAAGGAGCAATACACCAACTGTTCTGTAGCAGTCAGTGCCTAATGGTGCAGAATGAATCTGACACCCATGTAATTGTGAGAGGAGATGGGAGAAAAATATTTCCTCTATTTAAAAAAAGAGCATTATAGTAGTGGATTTCCTCCACGGTAGAGCCCCACATCTGCATCTAAAGTGCTTCTGGACAGCCACAGGGGTTTCCCAATTTTCACGTTAGGTAGAATGACAATTCATTGGGTGCCCTGCCAAGTGGGATTCTATCCAGGGGCATCTGCAAGGTGTGGCCCAAAAAATCAAGATGGTGGCCACGACGATGGGATCAAAGCTTCTCCTGTTTTTATGACCATCATGTGCACAATACACATAAAAAAAAAAAAAGTGGGGCATTAATCATATCATCATGGCTGTCATCTTGACTTTTTAACCACATCCTGCAGATACTCTGATTCCATCCCATTCTCCAGGAAGTTTCAGAAAGAAGACTATCAGCTCATAAAAGGGAGAGTTCAAAACTCAATGAGGCAGGCCTATATGGAAGATCATCAACATAGGAAGAGCTCTGTCCCTAGTCTGGTCCAGCCATCAGCCAGACACCTCTTCCTCTATTTATTCCATGAAGCTGATTGCCAGAGACACAACCTAGGAGGTCATGAATAGCCACATGACGACTTATTAGCAGGCATGCAAAGCTATACCAACTGACAAACTTTTTCTGATGATGAATATTGAGTTAGATTGCGGATCCAACAAGTGCTGATTTCTCCACTTTGAAGGGACTCCAAGGATCTCAGGCAGAAAGAGTATTTTTCTGAGCCTTAGAAATGGATATGCTGCAGTCGTCTGAGATGGCAAAACTGACAGCTTTGATTAAAGAAAAGACATTGCGTGAGTTTAATGTTGATTGGAAACCTTTTTTGGACTTTTTTGCAGGAAACAGAAAAAAATGAAACTATATAGTATGGATTTGATGATTAGGAATAATATGGGTAAATAGAAATAATAAAAGTTACCTTGTAAACTTAGAGCAAGAGTTTCATGTATATTGCTACCTGTATCTGTTGTGAGGAGGGTCGGAAGTCAATTCTTTCCTTTTCTTTTCTTTTTTCTTTTCCATTCTTGTTTTCTACACTTTTGACCTCGACTACTCTTTTTTTCCTAATCTTCCTTTCTTCTTTTTACGTTCTTTAATATTAGTTCTTGTTAGTTCTTGTTTCTTTTTTTTTAATTAATAAAGTTATTTAAAAAAAAAAGAAAAAGAAGTGGATATGCCTGGGATAGAAGTCGAGCCTCTTCACGTGTACTATTCTAAGCTCCTTTTGAGCTGTGGAGCCTCCATCTGCAAAATGATCCAAGATTTTAATTTGTAATCGCAGGGGTAGAATGTTATTGTTTGGTTTAGACTTACTGAAACATGGCCTTCTTTTGTTATAACAAGAGCACGTGTTACAAAAAAGGGAACTTTCAACATTTCAGTTCAATATAGTAGGACTTATAAGCTGATCTAGATGTAGATTTGGAGGGTTTACTTATGAATTATGAAGTCTGGCTTTCCAGCTGTATTGAGAAGCAGATCATGTTTCCCACCATGATGGTTTAATAGAACTTGAGTAGATCCCCAGACCAACATGGAGATGGGATTGTATCTTTTTCTACGCCCAAGGGCAATAGGTTAGCTCGCCCTTGGGTGTAGAGTGCTTTGCTATTCTATTCTTGACACCTTGTTCCCTCCCTCCCTCCCTCCCTCCCATAATTCCTCTCCCGTTATTATTTCATCTTTCTTGAAGGTCATAAAGGAAGTTGAACGCGAACTGAAAGATCAGCACATTTGGTAATTTTGTGAGGAACCCTGGGATCCATCTTTCTATTAGTGCTTGGTTTGTGGGACTAGAGTGCATGTGCATTTTTTAAAATCTCGGACAGAATAGCAGTCCATTAGCTGGGTGGATTGTACAATGGGGATTTCAGCCATGCAAAACTGGACAAATCTTGAAAAATAACACTCCTTGAACATGCTCAGAGGAACAGCTCTACAAGGAGACCTCAACTTGAAAGGGATTTTCCACTACAAAAGCAACATACCAGGACAACTCCAGAGGTACATCTCGTATACGTGTACTGGGGTGAAAGATGTGTGGGTGTGGGTGTAACTATGCTAGAATGAAAAGCACTCTTGGTTTCAGTTTTGATCAAGAGGTTTTGAAGTTTTCCATTAAGATAAATAGTATCCATACTCACCATCAACAACAGAAGTAAATAAATAGGCAAACACAGCATATTCCCTGGAGTAACCTTTTTGAAGAACTCACTTCTCAGGGCAGTTCAGTATAGAAATGAAGAGAAGCCTATTGGTAAGGAAGCCTGCAGAGGGATCCACAGGGTGGATCAAAAAAGTCAAGATGGTGACTTTTTTGATCTCACACATAAAAAACAGGCAGAGCTTCAATTGTGGCATTGTGGCCACCCTTCTGACCTTTTTACCACTTCTGCAAATATCTCTGAAAGCCTAGATGAGTGATTACAGGCAGCTTGGGTAAGGGAAAGAAAAACCATAACCTCTAGGACATGTACAATTACGTTGCAGTCAAATATATACGGCATGAAAAGCAGATGTCCAACCTTGACCATGGGTTAAATTTTGCATTATCTGCAATCTCTGGCCCTAAAGAATCCAGCCCCGGCCCAGAGTGGCCACAGGCATATGGAGAGGCGTCTTTGAAATAATGGTGATTCGTACAGGTAGTTAAGAGTTACGACATACATCCCAGATGCCTGTGGGCTGTCAACAAACATTTCTGAGTCACTCCCATGTTAGCGTAGTGCTTAATCAAGGAACTCAATATTGTAATGGGTTTTTACTAGCTTTATGCAAATAAAACACACAACATTATTCTATTTACATTTTGAATTCTGCTTTCATTTTCATGTTTATTCCCACCAACAGAGTAATTAGCTCTCTTTTGCCTATGCATGGATTCAGAAAGGCAAGCATCAAGACTAATGTTGTGATCAACAGACATGAAACTAGTAGTGGCAATAAATAAATAATGGGACTGTTTAAATGAAGTTTGCCCAAGGTCACAACTAACAAATGCAGAATGCAGAGGCGCTGGCAGTTACGTGTGCCCCTAGATCACACCTCTCCTTCGCAGGTTGCATCGGCCGCTGGTTTGCTTCCGGGTCCAATTCAAGGTGCTGGTTTTGACCCTTCCAGCCCTTCATGGCATGGGGCCGGTTATCTGAGGGACCGCCTCTCCTCGATCACATCAGCCCGTCCCATTAGACCCAGCAGGGAAGGCGTGCTATGCGTTCCATCGGCCAGGGACTTGCATTTGGAGGGTCCCAAGAGGTGGGCCTTCTCTGCCGTGGCTCCCTCCTCGTGGAACATTCTCCCCGCTGGGGGGAGGCTCGCCCTTCCCTGCTGTCCTTCAGGACGTCCCTCAAGGGCTGGGGGTCTTTGGGAACCGGAGCCGTTCTTAGATGGCTCCACCGTAACTGATACTCCGCTCTCTCCATGGAGTGTGTCTATTTTACAATTTAAAACTTTCAGACTTTTTGATCAGGTTGCATTTTAATCATCACTTTTTTATCTTTTACAATGCTTGTTTTTATCCGTTATTTTATTTAATTGTCATATGCCGCCCAGAGTCGCTTTGTGTGAGATAGGCGGCTATACAAATGTGACATATAAATAAATAAATAACAAATGCCCAGCCTTCTACAATAGGCTGTGCCTGATGCTGTGATGTTTAGTTCATGAAAATAATGGAGTCAACATTTGGCTGCACAGCTACTCTTAAAATGAAAATTTACATGGATTAGCTGTATAAAGCTGTTTTTAGATGATGCCTTGATTGCCCATTGACTTTTGCTTGAAAATGAAAAAAATGAAATTATAATATATGGTTTTGATGATTAGAAAAAAAATAGATTATAGGGAAAAAATGTAACTATAGAGTAAGAAGTTAATTTACATTTTTATAACTGCTGTAAAAGAAAATCAGAAGTAATTTCTTTATATTTTTCTTTCTTTTTTGCACTTTTATCTGTTCTTTTCTTCTTTCTTTCCTTTTTCTTCCTTTTTTTATTCTAAATACTAGTTCTCATTATTTATCTCATTTTTATCTTTCATCTTAAGATTTTAATAATGATATGTAATAGAAACTAGTAGTGGCATGAACCTCTAAGCTCCTGCAGAGCCTCTTCATCTCCTTATCTTCATGTTCAAATGAGGATGCAACCGAATTCTCCTGGCATGGCCTCAGTTGCATGCGTTCAATACGGAGAGAAAAAGCTAAGCATCAGTTCAACTCACATCCCATCACTGAATTCACAGAGCTATGGCTTTTACCATTTGGCCCAGCTTTCCAGTGCTAGAACCTACCCACTGTTTGTTTTCATCTGACCTCTTTGACCCTCTCTCTTTTTGTATTAGACTAGATCAAGAGAAGATCTGTTTTGTCTTTCTAAAGTCCTCTACGCTTTAGGAGAGCTACTATTCTGAAAATGAAAATGCTACACCATCTAAATTTTATTACAGCAATTATGCAGATTATGCAGTTCCAGCATGCATCTGATAAAGCACTTTAGGCACATTTCTGTTCCCTGATTAGTGATTCTGGCTTTGGTAATTGCAATGGGCAGGGACTAGGCAAAGATTAGAGTAACAGGAGAATGGGAACAGGAACTAACTGGGCATCAGATTCAGTCTGACTGAAAGGATGTTATCAAAGGAAGTGTCTTGGGATCTTACACAAAGCCTCCACATACTGGCAAATCTACTAAGCCCTAGATGAATCCCTATTTTATACTGGTGGGGCACACTCAATATGGTGAACCCTAAGTGCAAATTTCATACTATATCTACGCTCACAAAAACCAACTGTGATATGGCTTAACATGGTGCCTGATTCAGACAAAATGCTAAAATAATGGTTGGTCTCCTACAAGTGGAATCACAAGCTACTCAACTTTACTTTAGCTCAGTTTAGCTAAGGTGGGCCTGGTGGGAGATCAAATTCATGGAACATATTCATGGCCGCAAGCAGACTGCAAGGCTAGAGAGCTGCTGAAGCAGAGGAGGAGGCCTAAGTGTAAGATGTAATGATCAGGAATGGGAAAATCCAGCTATACTAAGCAGAAAAAGGATGGACAGATGGTCAACATTACAAGAGAATCTGCAGTTATTCTATTTCTTCTCTTTCTTAACAGATTTTATTATTTCTGGAATGGAAAAAAAAGATAACAGGATTTGTGGGAAAACAAAGAAGGGTTGCCAGCCAAAGACCTCCTTTGAAGCCCTGAAGTCTTGGTTATTCTCAGTTCCATCTTTGGCACTTCATCTCAGTTGGACCTGCTTCGGTTGCCTTCACACCAGGTGAGTCTTTGGGGAGTTGGCAGGGGTCAGAAAAGTCAAGATGTCTGTCAAAACCATGTGCTCAGCGTCCCTCTCCCTTTTTACCTCCTCCAATGATCCTGCTTCACACTGTACACTCTGCTATAGTTTCCTAAAGTTGCATCCATAAATACACAACTGCATAAGCCATTTCATACATACCTGTGTCCAATTACATCCTTATTGTTTTTGCCGATATGCAAATACTTTCCCCAACTAGATGGCTTGCAAGCCAACCGCTTTCCGGATCTTCTCAGCAAAGCCATTCAAAACAGCCTTTGTTGGATTAACTTAAAACATGTATTCTCATAACCAAGAACTTGCATACATTCTTTCCCACACTCATTTACACACACACACACACACACAATGTGCAGAGGAGCGCATTATCCAAAATTCCAAAACTTCAGCACTGGTTCATTCCCGTAAAACTGTTTAGCCAATGCCCTGGTCGAACGGGCAGTATTTGTCACCTAAGATCAGTATGCAAGGCTCTGTAGATCCATTTATCAGCTATGTGAAAACACGCGCAGTCCATCCTGTTTGAGAAGATGAAAAACAATGGATCCCCTCAGTGTCCTTTGTTGGACAAACATTGCACTACGGGATTTGAAACAAGAAAGTAAAGGAATAAAATGGATCGGTGAAAGGCTGCAACAGAGGCATACATTCTGCAACGTAACATATAAATTGACTGAATAAATAATTATATACAAGAGAGATGGTGAGAGATGTGGCCATACACCCAAAAGGACCCCCGAGTTCCCATTTCCTTTCTCAACTGCTTTTGCCTTATATTTCTTTCTTGTAATGGCCTGTTTTTCTCTTCTCTCTATAGCATGTCAGAGTTCAAAGCTCACTCAGGGAAATCTGGCACCTTGAGAATTTTTGAGATTTGGGGCTAAGGTTAGCCATCATCTTCCAGATGCTGGTGAAATAAAATTAGGATGGATGTGGGAACATCAGAAAGCTGCAGTTAAATCCAGAAGAGTCCCACAGTATATTGGTCTAGGATGTGAGAACAGAGGGGTTAGTGGTCAAAGGTGCTGGACTGGGTGCAGGGCGACCTGGGTTCTACTCCTGCATTAGGCATGGAAGCCGGCTGGGGGGCTTGGGGGCTTCAGACCAATACCAAAGGCCAGTGTGCAGAAGATGCTGGACCAGCAGTGGAGAGACCCAAGTTCTAGATTACCCTCAGCCATAGTGGTAGCCTGGAGGACTATGTGCCAATCCCTCTCTCTCAGTCCAAGAGACAGGGTGGGCTAGTGGGGAAGGTGCCAGCCTAGAAATAGGGAGACTCGTCCCCTCCCCCCCTCCCCCGGAAACTCCCTGGGGGACTTAGGGTCAGTTCCTCTCCCTCAGCCTAAGACTGGGAAGTAGAAAAACATTCCAGAAGGGGGGGGGGAATCAAAATCTGCAACATGTTGGGTGCAGCATCACAATCGAAGCTCTGTCTTCTTTGCATGTGTGCAGATTTTAACATACACATATCCCATGGATGCCTATGGTAGTATGGCAAGTTAGCCTTGGACAAGAAATATATATACTTACTGATACACAGTTGTGAATGGGATGGAAGAAAGATTGTAAACAAGGAAGCCACTGAACAAAAGTCTTAACAATTGTTATTTAACTCATTCTTACTGAATTGTTTTAAAAGACTTATATGTCCATCCATCTTATAGACAATAACCCTGGGTAGCTCACTGAAAGATCAGTAAGACAGAAACAGTTAGACAATGCTATATTAACATCAACACTACACTACCCTCCACAGTGACCCAATAACAACACTTCCACAAACAGTTGCATCTTACATTTGTTGGGCTCAATTCTCACCCTAACCTAACAGCTGGGGGAACAGCCAGGCCTTCCCAACCCTCTAGAAGGCTAATAGAGTTGGGGCCATTTGGATCTCAGAGGGGAGGTTGTTCAGCTGCGCAGGAGGAGTTATGGAAAAGGTGTGCTTCCTAGGTTCCAGCAGATGATAACATTTACGGGAAGGGGCTTGGAGTGTGTCCACCCTATCTAGCCTGGTGGGACAGGAAGCTACCCTCAGGGAAAGGCAGTTCCTCAAATAACCTGGCCCTGGGACATTCTGGGTTTTAAAGGTGATAGCTAGCATCTTGAATTGTACCCAGAAACTGAAGGGAACTGCAGGGCACCCAGAACTATACGCACCACTGCATTCGGGACCAGTTCTAACTTTCAGATGGTCTTCAAAGTCAGCCCCATGTAGAGTGCATTGCAGCAATCCAATTGGGAAGTAATCAGGGCATGAGCGACTGTGTGCATAAACATGTGAGCTGTACCCAGGAATTGTTTTGTGAATGACCATGTCAGTACATATAGCTTTTTGTGAATTTTGTACATTCTATACATTTCATTGGCAAAATCCTGTTTGCAATCCAACTTGTTCTCATTTATTTTTCCACAAAAGCCTGGAGTAGAATAACATTTGTTATTGGTTAAGGTCACTTTTGACAGTGCCAGGAAGGATGAGCTACCTTGTAGGCAATCATTTCCCCAGTAATTTTTGATGTCAACTCCATGCTTGAAAATTGTGGCAATGAGAAATTTTGGAAACTGGCTTGGATGATCCTCTGAAACGGAAGAACTTATAGAAGAAATTCTGAACTTGCAACTTGAACTGATGCTAGGTATTGAGGAACTTGCCAACTATCCTACTGTTTCATGTGCATCTTTCCGACTGCATTTTCCCCTCTAAAGAGACACAGAAAATACATTTGGTGCATAGCCAAAATGGCAGCTATCCAAGAAAACAACTAAAAGGCTCAAAACTACTATGAGGAAACCACATGAAACCATGACACAAGAAAGGGAATATGATGGTATTGGTTGTTTATTGATAGAAAATTGAGTGTCTAAGAGCATGGTTCCAATTTGCATTTTATCTTGAATTTGTTTAGTCTCTGAAACAATCTGTTCTCTACTTTGACTATACCTCCTTTCCCACAAGAATATCTAATCAAGCTGGTTCATTTACACTAAGGTTATTGCAATACAAGATCTTGTTTCCTTTTATAAGAAACCCCAACATTTATCTACAGATTGTAAATCACATACCATATGCTTTTTTAAACTCTAGGAAGAGATTTTTCCTAGGACGTACCATAACATTTCAAAATGTTGTTTCTTTTTTCTTCTTTTAAGTACCAAATATCTAGTTGTTGACAGTGCAAAGTATTAATCGATCAAGAGAAATTTAAATATTTCTTTCAAGAAGCAGTTGCCTTGTTAGCTATTGCTCAGCAAAATCAAATAAATGAACGTTTCTTCATCTGTTTATAGAGCTTCCTTAAAAATTCTGTGTTTTTACAAAGTCCAGTGTTTTGTGTTTCTAATCGTGGGCCAACTGATCAAATAATCTTCAGCGAAGAGGTGGTTGCATATCTTAAAATATCGGTAACTATCAAATTTAAAAATGTACAGGGCAAGACACACCATTATATAACCACGTACAGAATAATCTAGAGGATTTATGAAAAATGAATGGGATTGTTTAAATGAAGTTTGCCCAAGATCACAAGTACAAATGCCCAGCCTTTTACAATACCTGATGGTGTGATGTTTAGTTCATGAAAATAATGGAATCGACATTTGGCTGCACAGCTCAAATGCTACTCTTAAAATGAAAATTTACGTGGATTATCTTTAAAGCTGTTTTTAGACGATGCCTTGATAATGTTTTGCACTGTAGCTACTTGGGGAACTTAAGGAAACAAAGCCACATGCAAGTAATAATAATTTTATTATTTTGTATTATTCAGAGAACAGACTTGTAATGTTTCAAAGCAGCTCTTCATGTCCAGATTTGATTTTGGGGAGCGGGGGGGGGCTTGTCTGCATTAACATTGCAGGTTGGAGATCTTCATTCATTGTAATTTCACAGCTGTTGAAAACAGCATGTAAGATAAAACGAGTGGAATTTGTTCAAAAAGAGGAACGTTTGTCTCTTCCTTATTCAGAGGGGAATAAATGTTCCACAGGACACATGAAGAGGGGTAATTACTCCTGAATGGCCATTACATAAAAATTTGAATATTTAAGGTACTTAGCATGATTTCCATATATGGCTTCTGCTTGAATAGAGTTGAAAGAGACCTAAGAGGTCATCAAGTTCAACCCCCTGCACACTGCAGGATGCACTACACCATCCTTGTGAATATTGTCATTGGTTTGTCATTGTCATCCCAATGGCAAACCTAAATAGGCAAACATTCATGCCATAATGAGAATAACAAATGTTGGACAAAATTCAGAAGGAACCCGTCTTTGGCTGGAGAAGATCTTCTTAGCAAGGTCCCTTCAGAATGCTCCTTAGTAATGTTACATTCTCCATTTATGCTCCAGATAAAGAGCCTAATGCATCAATTATGTATGAATAATGAAGAAGTATCCATCGATGCATTTAATCTCATCCGTAAATTCAAATGGTTTGGTATTGTTTTATCTATGTTAAGAAATTGCCCAACTGGATGGTATTTTAAGGACAATGCAGAAAGATTGCAAACTAAATGATTATCACAAATAATCATTGTTTGTGATAACCAGCTAGGAGCTCATTAAAAAAAAATGTATTTATCCATGGCAATTTTCATTTTAATAAAGGAAGAATATAAAGAAGTATTGGAGAGAACAAAGTATTCTACCAACACTTTGGCACAAACCCTGGTATTTTGGAATTGCCAAGAAATTATCAAAATACAATCCAGAAGCCCCTTAAATGGGTTTATTGTCTGTATTTAAGCCATGGTAGTATCACTTCTGTCAGTGGGATTAAGATGGATTCAGAGAAATAACTCTTGTGACTCCTACTCTAGATTATGTATCATTAAATATGTATGGAGTTGAAGAAGAAATTGTTAGAATTGTTACTGTTAGAAGGCACTGACAAAAACTGATTGTCTTTTTGTAAGGTTAAAAATATTTGGCAGTTTCAAATCACCATTTTAAGGGAAAATGACAATTATTTAGATCTCGTCTCACTAATTATGCTCTAGATCTACCTTACCTGCACCTCAATGCCTTACAATGGAATGGTGTGCTTTTTTATAAAAAAAATACAAATCAAAGATTACATTCTATATGCTGAACTGACAGAAGTGTTCCCTTTAGGATTGCAAAAGATCCATCTCTAATTTTATTGTACATTATTTTCTTGGATTTTTTATTTTAGGTTCTTCATTATGATTCTCCTCTCCATTTTCCTCCCATAAAGGCGCTGGTGTTGCTTATAACGATGGTAACATTTGCTTGTTTTTTAAATAGTTTATAGAGGTTAAGAGATCTTGAATTAATTTCTCATTAACTTTGGGAAGGATCATCCTTCTTGATGCAAAACGTGACCGTTTCTCCAACTGTGCTGTAGCTTCGGGTGGAAACCTCTGTTTTGAAATTGGATGGTCTGCTGTCTGTGGATAACTGGACTTCTGTACAGAAAGATGGTGTCAGTTTGAATGAAGCCCCAGTAAAAGTATGTGTAGCTGGTGTTGCTGCTGCTGTTCTATGAGACTCACCAATATGGAAAGAAACGTTAGAGGGATCCCTAGGCTGCATTTCAGTCACTCTGGATGCTGACATAAAGATACCGCCAGGGTGATGCCCTTCAAATTTGCTAAAAAAGGTTTGCCTGGGCTTAGAAACCACAGGTCTTCCAACATTCAGTAATACTGGCTTCCCAATGGTGGGTTTGTTTATTTCAGTCTGAAGAACAGCTATTTCATAAGGTTTATCTTCTTCAGAATTAAGACGGCCACATTTGTATGTCTCTCCTTCTTCAGGGACATAATCTTCAAGGTCCTCTAAAGTTAATGCTTTCCCATTACGAGTAAGGATTTTGACTTCTCGGTTCCCAAGATCAGATAGTTCTCCCTGATCTGGTTCATCTATTATAATTTTTTTCTCTGGAAGGGCCTCATCTTGTGCAGAGGCTAAGGAGTCCTCAACAGCATAATCCTCAACATGGTCGAGCCGAATGCCCATCCCAGATGTTTCAAATGTTTCACTCACACAGGAAGCCTCAGATGAGTCAGTCTGGCTGCTGGATTCATGAAGATGTGTCCTTCCTTCTAGCTCCACAGAATAGCTTTCCTTTTTGTTGCCCGCTGGTCCTCCTTTGTAGTTATCTCCAGAAGCTTCAACACCTTGGGACATAGAAGATTCAGCCTGCTCAACTTCTTTATTATTTGAATTATTCGTGTTTGGATCATCTTCAGAAGAATGCTTGGGTCTCGTGCCAGGCCGAGCATAACCTGATGCAAATTCATCCTTTTCTGATCTCACAGGAGATGCACCTCTCTTCCTTGGAATCTGGGTTGGCTTCTTAACATTGAATTCAATTATTTCTTCCACTTCAACCCATTTAGGCTGCTGTTCTTCCAGGGTGGTTTCTACAGTGATACTCCGGGCTGCCACCCCTTGCCTCTCTTCAGGGTCAGTCACAAAAAGAGTAGGAATAGCAGCCTTCCCCATTGCCTCAGTGTCATGCCTGGGACCAGGTTGCCTAATCTTGCTCACATAAATTGGCTCAGATGTTGCAAACTCTGATCCTGGAGAGCGAGAAGGAGCATAGCCTGTAGATGGACGGGCAGGCGATACCTTTTGCTTTGTCCTCGGGTTTTTCACGACCGTGGTGATTGTTTCCTCTCTGATGGTGAAAATGTTGGAGATTGGGTTTGGGTAAGAAATAAAGTATTCCCTGTCTCTTTCCCAAACCTTGGGGATGCACACTGCATCACATGTTAATGCAAAAATAAGCACAGCAGTGTTAGTCTTGTGAGCTTTTGGCATGTGCAGAAATTACTATTTGAAAGGGGTTTCTTCATCCATATAAACAGACACCAGCATCTCTGTCTCCATTTCAGAAACAGATTCCCTCAATTCTTTTAAGCTCTCTGACTTTCTTCAATGTGCAAAAATAAACCAATCCCTCACAGATGAACTATTTCAACAGACTATTTTTACAAACTGGAGGCAGGGAGAAGGAGCAACATTATTATTCCTCAAATTTCATGCAGGCCATGTGGCAATAGGGTTCAGTAGATAAGCCGAGGACACCTTGCTGTAATCTCAAGAACTACTAGTAGCTTCTAATATATACATCCAAGCATACAGTCGTATTACTGGGAAATAGCTTTGTGTTTTTATGATTTAAACACAGTGATTTTGCTCACAGATTATTACTCGAGATATTCTTAATAAAAAGGTAGCATCTCTTTTGTAATCAAAGGTATACTTATTTAAGAAGGTAGTATTTGCATTGGCAAGGAAGAATGTAAGATTGGAATATGGAATATAGAATAGCTTAGTTAGAAGCAGCAAAGAAAAAAAAATCAAGCCAAGGATTGAGAGGTTAAAACAGTCCTAGCAGAAGGCTAGTTGAGTTGCAATAAAGATACCTCTTTTGGTAATTTCTCTTGGTTTGGTTGGTGAAGAAGTCAATAACCCAGACCTGATCTTCCCCCATCTTAATCCTAATGTGAATCTTCAAGTTATTTTGTCACAAATTATTATTCTAATTCCATGTTAAATTTGATCTTTCCAAAATTAATCCATTTCCAGAATTATCCATTCATTAATTTTTCAGCAGCTTTCATTTTTATTCAGATTTTTTCCAGATTGAGGTCAGAGCTACCGTTTGTGACTGCTTTCATCATCTGAATTCTGAGGTACCATTTAAAGACAAATGCTTTGGGTCTGACAAATTGCTTCAGACCTGACTACTGGACCAAATGCCTATCCCATTCTGCATCTGTGCCTTTTTATGATTTCAACCATTACAAAGACATTAAGATTCTTCTGAGAGGCAGTCAAGCAAAAAGAGAAAAGCCATTTGATTTCGTTTGATTGGCAGATAAAAGGAAAGCTGTTGATCATAGACAAAGAGATCCAGAGTTCTACATCTGCCTAATAATGACTAGCCAAATCCTTGCCATTATCAACATTATCTGGGGGATATATAAATGTGGAAGAAAGATCTATCCAGTAGAAGAGAATATGTGCAGCCCAAGGTTGAACTGTGAGTTCTTGGAGCTCTCCAAGCTTGGCTGCTTGCAGACATTTCATTACCCAACTAGGTAACATCATCACTGGCAAGTAAACAACCAAGCTTAGAAAGCACCAAGAACTCCACAGAAAGATATACTGCATAGATTACAGAAATCTTCATCCCACAGATCTCATTAAGAGCTACATGGTGCTCTGCAGAGTTCTATCTAGACATTATTTTTTGATATGATATTCAAATAAGATGAACCTGTGAATTGGCTAATATACATATCCATGACGATAGACAGGATTTGTGCCTGTGAGGCTACTCTAATGACATTTTAAAAAAAAACTTTTATAAGAGTTAAATGCCAGGTTGTATTTAGAAGTCCCTTTCGAAAGCAATATGCTCACCTTGAGCCTATACGTGCAGAATGAATCAGATCATTTGATAAATTATTCCAAACAATGGTCTCCATAACAATAGAGCTTTGGTGGAAAAGGAAAAGGAAAGCTGGAGCAAAGAGAATATGTAGCAGGCATTAGGTAAACAGGGAATTGATGGTCTCAGATATACATAGAAGCCTGGAACTGGGAGAAGCCTTTGTTTCCAACTCCTTTGTTTCCAACCATTTGCTCAGAAATCCAAGTTAAACTTCCCTATCAGATGAATGACTTTTCACTTCTTGACTTCACCCAATTTTTTGATGGAGGGAGAACAGGAGAAAATAGAACATACTGACTTGTAAATAAAGCAACCAAACCAATTCTAGAACATCCTTCCTTCAAATGAACTTGCCAGCAGAACAAGAGAAAGAAAGATTGTAATACAAGCTGCATCTGAGGGATTGACTTTAACAGATCAGATAGTCGGTATAGACTTGGGGTCAGAAAAAATCAAGATGGTGACTGCAACCATATTATCAAAGCCCTGTCCCTAATATATGTAATAAAGGAACAGGGCTTCAGTTGCATGCTTGCAGACACCATCTTGACTTTTTTGCCCCCTACCCCCAAGAAGGTCCTGGGCTGCATTCTTCCAGCAATAAGCTTAAACATTCCTTCTTTGCTTTGAGAAGATGACATATGTGACATTCCTATTAAGCCAGGTCTGTTTGCTTACACGTTGTGATCATAGTGAATTGGTCCCATAGAGCCAAGAAGAAGGAAGGAAGGAAGGAAGGGAGGGAGGGAGGGAGGGAGGGAGGGAGATGGACTAGCAATCAGAAGATTATTAGAAGGAGTTCAGGACACATTTTTAGTTCTCTTTGAAGTGGGATTCCCCTCTTCCTTCAATTTGATGTAATGAAATTGTTGCATGCCAAGGATGAAAACTAGGTTAAGTTGCCACTTTCTTCTTCAGGAACAATTTCTTGAAATGTTTAACAGCAAGTGCAGGGGAGATAAAGAGAGGAAGAAAAGATTGCTAGTTAAAAGGCATGTTAGTACACAGTATTTATTCTGAAACAGTGGCATTCTACAGTGGAGATCTGTGGTTCTTAACTGACTTTGGCCTGCTCAACGCCTCACAATTTGTACCAGGATGTATCTCAGGATTAATGAGAAGTAGACGAAAAACACCTGTAAAGTGCAGTTTTGTCCTGTTTGTTTTTCTCATAACCCCAAAATACCACTAGACCTGATGGGATGGGAAAAAACACATTTGCATGGCCAATAAATACAGATTGATTATTGGGACATGCAGAGGGGTAGCACATCACAACACAAATGTTAATATATATATATATATATGTATATATCAGCACTTACATGATGATGGTTTTCTTGGGCACCTTAGTTTCTTGTTCAGTGACTACAAAGAAAACAGTATGAACAGCATGGGGTTAAAAAAAAAGGCAAAAGCTCACACAATCACATTAACTTTGTTATGCGAATCTAGAAAAAAAACCTTGAGTGGAAAGAATTTAGAGAAAAACAAACAAACAAACGCCATCCCATTGCTGATTTCTGTGTTATTTCCGAACTTTCGACCAATTTCAGCAAATTGTGATGACCAGATCCACAAATCACTTAATGGGTGAACACTTGCAATGTCTTAACTGAAGGAGTTAAAGCTAGTTAAGAGCTGGATTCTAACCAAGTGACATACATAAAGTCTTAGTGGGGCACAAACATGTTAAATTCAACCGTGCTGGACTGAAAAGAAAACACCGAGTTAGAAATAATTGTTTTGAGTGTGACACAGAGATTTGCCATTTGAAGGGTGTTATGATCACTCTGCAGCTCCAAACTTTCCCAAAGTGATTGAAAGAGCTTATTTCAAGTAGGAAACAAATGTTTTACATTCAAAATAATTGTCTTGAACTTGAAGTGGTTTAAATTTGAAACCATTGGCGCTCCCCTGTGCTGGTTCCTCTACTCTGCACGCAGCATCCTCTCCCCACCCTCTCCATATCGGTAGATTTCTTCTTTCTTGTGATAGTCTACTTGTTAAGGAAGCACAGAGTGGTCCAGGAGGGAAACAAAGAAGAAGCCAGATTGAGAGTGAGCAAGGGCTAGAGGATAGTTAGTCAGCATCTTAAGTGATTTGTGGATCACAATCTAAGGCTGCTGAACTAATATAGCTTCGGATGCCAGGGCATCTGTATCACGATTGTTGGTTTTCCATATTTATATCCTGATTGCTTTCCACATTAGGATATTTTCATCTGCTTCACAAGCATTTCCATCTAGACATATGCCATGTCAGAAAAGGGATTGTATTGTGTGTCTTCTAAACATGCCATTAGAATATTAATGTGAGGGTTTTCTATAATGGTCTCCTCCATGTTTCTGAACTAAGGCAAAAGTGACAATTCTAGCAGCCACTTTTTCCAAAAAAGAAGAGAGCACGCTATAATGGCTTTCAAAATGTGGATTAGTAAAACAATATGGAAAGCCAAAAGAGGCTCAAGTGATTTACAATCACATGAAGCCACAGTTAAGCTCTGCTAACTTTATGGGTAGAAAAAAGGTGTGTGTGTTTTTAAAAAGGAGGATTTTTAACAAGAAAAAAGGCCAAATTGAAATATTCAGAAATAATTTCTCTCTTTAAATAGTATTCAACTGAATACGTTCAAATTCTCCCTATTTGGCCAGATAAGTGCTGAGAAACAGGGATATCTGTGGAGGGGAGGAGTCAAAAAAGACAACTTGTTAGCCATGACCACTCCATTGAAGCCCTGCCCCGTTTTATTGTGTGTCACAATGAATGCAAAAATTGGCAGGGCTTTAATTACCCCGTCATGGACACCATCTTGACTTTTTTGACTCCCTCCTAGGGCACTGGGGTTTAGAAAACACATTAAAATCTGTGTCAAAATCTAAACTCTCCTGACATAATTTTAGATGAAAGCAGAAAAATGTTGAATAAAATGTTCACAATTTTTGAAAAGTTGAAGCTTTGTTCCTTATCAATATCTCTATCTCTATCTTATTGTTATTGTTTTATTATGCTTGAAAGTGTATGTTTCTGAGACAGAAATTAAGCAAAGCAAAACACCAGGATTTAATGTATTAGTATGCTGTACTGGACTTTAGTATTGGTTTTTTAATATTACATTTGAAAATGTAAACCTATTCAAGATATTTCTCATATTCCACATGCATTCTTGTATATGAGGTGGGACCTACATGGACTTGTAAACTGCTGAGTTCTGCCAAATCATAGATTTGTGAGCAAACTTACATTGTGTTGGAAATATACAATGCTTGAAAGGAATCAAGGATTCCTTTAGACGCATAACATAACCCGTCAGCTTCATAAGTAAGCTTCAGCAAACTCTTCCAGTTACAAATGAGCTCCAGAATTACAACAAAGTTGAGCATTTGGGTTCCTGCTATGTGAAATTAATAAGTGCATTGCAAGAAAACAGTTTGTAAACCTCAAAGCCTTGCTCTAATAAAACTGCATTCCATCTGTCCTCGGAGTAATAAAATTCACCTTAGTACGCTGGTATATTTTGCCCCATGTCCACTTCATTTGCTTTTTAAAGGAAATTAAAGCATATGTGGCATAGTTACAGAGACACCTCAGGATTTACTCAGTCCAATTTGTAATAAGAAGAGAAAATTAGCATTACACTGGCCACCTTTTCCTCTTACAATTTTCAGAACCCCTTTCAAAAAAATGATGCTTATGATATTTTAACTGCATTTAGCACTGCAAAGCAGATGGACTTGAGAAGCAGGTTAAAAGCTGTTAAGTGTGAAAGTTGAATTACTCCAGGCTTTAGCAATTAATGTGTTATGCTGGCTAATTCAAACAATATAGGCCAATAAAACAGAGATGTATGAAGAAAAACAAAATGAAACTCTTCAACAGGCAGAGAAGATGGTATCCAAAAAGCCTTTATTATGTCTCCTTCAAGTTTCCCTGGAAAAGCAAAGTGTCATTTGCACTATACATTTATCCAAATTATACCAAGATTTATTGATTTCTTATTTGATAAGGCAACAGGTAATGTATTAAGAAATTTTCAAATTAATTTCACCACAGGATACTAATGGAAGGATATAGAACCCTTTCTAAAATGCATGTAAGAAATTTTCAATGAACAATACTTTAAATTAACCATACCAGTTTAGTCACTACAGTTGAAAAAGTTATATTTTTCAGATATCAGTTCTGACACATATAGAGAGTAATGATATTCACGTTGAATCATAAACTAGGGAGACACACCCAGATAAAAAGATTGAACTCCTGAACACAATGACCCAAGGAATTTCTTTTATCTGAAATATCAGTCTGAAACCTCTAACAAACTGTCAGCTGAAAAGAAAGGAATGATTTTTAAACCAGATTTCCTCTTTGTCAAGGACAACTGTGAATCACCAGCCAGTGGCAGCTATAACAAGCCCTGATGATGTCAAAATGATGACACATGCCTATGATGCCATTGCATCAGAACCTCTGATGTAGATACTTAAGTCATGTCATTTGCATGATGATGTCATAATTCAGGTGTCATTCCCCCTGCTTTGCAAATACCCAATCTCACCAACAATATCAAGGATGCTTAAAAATTTGCCCTTCCCAGGCAACTCAATTACAATTTTTTTTCAGTAGCAAATCCTAACAAGAAAAGCCCTGTAGGCTTCAGAATTAGTAATACCTAGAAAGGTCAAGAGAATACTATATTCATAGCATTATTAGAGGCAAACTGTACTAAGCCTTACTACCCGTATTTCTGAATCTCAAAACAAACAAACAAACACAAATGTAATCGAGCTACTTCCTTGTTTTGTAGGAAACCTGGTTGAATTCCTCTTTGGGTATCTACTCAGACATGACAGCCCACAGTTTTCCATAAGTTATAAGGTGATTGTGCTCCCATATGGAATGGCAGAGCTTCATCCACACCACTTGCAGCTGTGGCTGAAGCCACTGATGCTGTGCTTTAAGTCTAATGTGTGGAGAAGTAAGCTCTCATTAGACCCTGGAGATCAGGATGTGAGGAAGAGGATGGAAATAGCAGTTCTTTAAAGTCTCCAACAAGATAAAAAGTGAAAGGGTGTAAGATCAAGATAGCCCCACCCATAAGTCATTGAAGGAACAAGTTCTGGGAACTCATGCCCCACCTCTCTTTCCACTATAAAGATTATTTGAGTTTAATTGGCAGTTGTCCCAAAATGCAGAAGAAAATTATTCTCTAACTTCAGCCACAGCTCAGAGGCTGCTGGATCAGATGTAGCCAAAACAACCCCTTTCAAGCACGGCCATCAGAAACCAAAGGCTAGCCAGGCCACAATAAAGCTTCATCTATTGAACTGGTCTCCCTCCATGACCTTGTCCATTTACTCCTCTCCTCCCCCTTCCCCACTTCTCATTTTTGTTTCTCGTCAGGAGCCCTTTCGGAAACAACAGTACTCTGAAAAGTTGGGTGAAATAAGTAGAATGAAAAGACCTCTAGAGGATAGGCTTAAACTTCACTTCAGATTTGTGCAACCAAGAAAAATGTACCCAAGCACTTGCAAGAAATAGACCACAGTGCAAAAATGGTATCTAGCCAGTTTGGTCCAGTTTGTGCAAACTGATTATTCAGAAATGTAAAATTGATAAAATTTAACAGCAAGGCAGAGGAAGTGATATGGGAAAGATAGGCTCAAGGACAGAGGGAGCCACATTTCTGGTTCCCAACTGACTACAATACTTAGGCAAACTCCTGTTGGTGAGCACCCCTAAAGTGTCTCTTCCCATTTGGAGATGGGGCTCTTGCTGGCTTTCAAATAGGAACTGGAAGTTTCAGTTGTCTGCTGTTCTTTGCCCAGCCTCCATGGAGTAAATGCATGTCAGAACCAATCTTCCATGGTGCTTTTTGGGCAGAAGAATTGGAATTGCAGTTGTCAGTGTGGGAAGAGAGGACAGGAAGGGCAGACTTGCAGGGGTCATGCAGAAAAGAAAAATGGAGGAGGGTACAGAGGCATAAAAATGCACATTAAAAAAGGTGAAGCTTTGATTGCGTGGTCACAACCATGTTGGCTTTTTTGACATCCTCCCAAGGCCACTCCTGGAGGGGAGATGTGAAATTGGGTCCTCTCAACCCGCAAGAATGGAAGAAGAGACATCTTTAGCCTGAAATCTTACTATGATTTACACAGGAGTAAAACCTATGGTATCTCATGGGGCTTTCTTTCTAGGAGATCTGCACAAGTTGGAATTATCATGTGAACCACTTGCTGCCTAGCTGAGATAGCAGAGGGTTTGTTGAATATCCCCAGATGAGGGGATACCCAGATCATCTGCACTTTGCTAAAACAGGACATACATCTTAGTAGCATACAAGCTCCATTTAGTCCAACCTAAGAACTGGACAGGAGAGAAACCTTAACTATTGCTGACTGCTGGAGGACTAGGGAAGCAAATCTGAGGGTGAGATCATAAAGTAAACCTGAATGACTACAAGATGTTCTGCATCTGGTTAATATCAGTGTTGTGGGTGCTGAGCAGCTGATGGTGTTCTTATAACTTGGGTAGTTTTACCTAGGTGATTTTCTGTGAAGGACCCACTGTGAGCTGGCCCACAATCAGTCTGGAAGTATTCCACCAAGAAATACAATGCCAGACCAGGTGAATGCAATCACATAATTCAGTTCAAAAAGGCAAACAACAAACAGGAATACAACATTTTCTGAGATAAGACAATGCACCAATTCAACCCTTAAATAGCAACAGGGATTTAACGACATAATCAGAGAGCAGATCAAAAGGCCATACCTTCAATTGTAATGGCTTGCTCTGGTCTCTTCTCTTGAGCCAAGGCTGCTGCACTCTGGTGGTAAAGGTGAGCACCACCCTTTGCGGTCCCTAACCTGTTTATCAACTGAAGAGAAGTTTGCAACACGAGTTAGAATGTGTGTGGATTTCAAGCTAAAGAAGAAAACCAACTCCAGTATGTCACTCACAAATCTAGGCAAGCAGTCACTTTGTGCAGAAGGTACATATCAGCCCTTCAAGCTGGGCCAGGACAGGAGACAGACACCACAAGAACTACTGGAACTCTACTGCGTTGTTATAGGGTCTGATAATAGAATTTTGAAAGCCTGCCTGTATGGGGTGCACATTTTCCACCCATTTGAACAGAAAGTCTGAGGGAGGGGAGCCCCTTACACAAAAAATCAGGCTTCCTATTCCCAAACAGCAAGATTTAATGTGGAGGAAGATGATGAACCCTCCTAGGGGTACTTGGATATCAAGAAGAAAACCTTGGATTATAATTTTCCACTTGGATTTATACCACATCTGAAGTTTGGGTTTCTTTTAACACAAGGCTTTAAAATATTAGATCTTCTCTATGTGGTCATAATGAGGTTGGATCTTTTTACTTTTGGTAATTATTAATTGATTCTAATGACAGTTAAGATTATTTTATACATATTATTATCCTAATATGGGGTTCAGAAAAATCTTGTTCAGTTTTACACAGCATGTAAACCTCCCTTTATTTCTTTCTGGATTTCTTTTTGTTTGTTTCCTTTTGCTGTTCCTCCCTTCCTTCACGGTTTGAGCACCCATTAAAATAAAAATTAAAAACTCAAAAATAATTCTTGCATTAGATCTTTATTTTATGTGTTTTGGATGGCTCCTTTTTTGAAGAGACCCCAGTAATGTAAATGTCTTGTCTCCTTATATAAGGCCCTATACTACTAGGAGTGATTCCAGAAGCAGGCTGCCTGTTAAGTCTGCATGTTATTTATTTGCTTTTCAGGGTTTTTTAAAAATCTTTGTTTTCAATACTTGCATTTACTGTTTTTTAAGCATTGTTGATAATGTTACATATTTTTCCCTTCTCCTGTAATTCTAAGCTCCTCTGAGAACACAAGCGCTTTAGAAACAAATAAAATCAAAGAATGTATTATCTCTGTATAAAGCTAGTTGTCATAAGCTAGAAGGCAAAAAGGGAAAAAGTAAACCAAAATCACTATCAGTAATTTGGATGTAATCATATTACCTGGGCCAAATTACAATGATTAATTACAAGTGTAATTGTTCTACTTTAATGAGAAGATAGTTTTCCACACATATGTTGCTTCTACAGCACCTGCGTGTTTCCCTCCAGATATGTTTAGGTGTGCCATTTTAATCCAAAAAACAGAACAGGACTGAGTGGTCAGAAAAGTCAAAATAATGGCCACAAAGGTACAATGAAAGATCTGCCGGCTTTTTTATATGTGCATAAAAACAGGCAGAGCTTCGATCACACTGTAATGGCCACCTTATTGATTTTTGTTACTGTACCCTGTGAGCATCCCTGAGAACAGGACTAAAGTGTTTTTAAAAGCTCCTACAGTGCTGTAAACCAATTAAATCCCCCATAACTTCTATTTATATTTTTCATTCTGCCTTTCTTTTTAATGAAAAAAAATCCAGTCCTAGTTCACCTCCTGCTTATCCATTTTGGCCCCAAATTGCCTGAGTTTAACAGGACTTCTTGCCCAGCAAGTGCACGCAAAGTCTTCAGCCCAGATATTTTATGGAGAGGTTCCTATCCCATAACACATTAAGAAAAAACAGAGAAACTCACCTCACACTCATAGAAACCTTCATCATCCTTGCAGGCGCTTTTGATAACCAGGACAATGACGCCACTTCGTGGCTCACTAAAGCTCTGGTGTTTGTTTGGATCGGTGAGGAGATTCCCATCTTTATACCACCTGGCAAGGAAATACAGACTGAGTAAGAGAGTGGGACAGAGTAAGATGTGGCAGAATAAAAATTGGAAGCAACAAACACTTATTTCTGTATTATTCCCTATGTGGTTCTTCTCCTCCCTTGAAGATGGGTTTCAGAAGGTGAAATAAGCCTTTATACCATAGAGTGCTAGGAAGTTCTATTCTGTCCCCCATGTTATTCAGCACCTATCTGAAGCCACTGAAGAACACCTGCAAGAGCTTATGGGACTGGGTGCCATCTTTACATGGATGACACCCAGGTCTTCTTCTCTTTCCTTTCTTCATATGATGTGCTCAGCTTCACAGATGGCTTCTGGCTGGAGTGGAACAGGTTAAAAATGATCCTGACAAGTCTGGATTGGATGGTTGGAGGAAATCGCTCAAATTTTCCTGCATTTGGTAGGGTGATTCCAAATGGACCTCCTTCCAGACTGGCACATGCAGTAGAACTTCAGTCAAAAATTGTAGCTCCTATATGTAGCTTCCTCACAAATATGAGAAGCCATTGTTTTGAAGAAGTAGGACCTAAGGAGCAAGACCATCGTTTGGAGATGTTCTCTGATTCTGTGCTCTCCTTGACAGTGGACAGTGGCAAGAAACACTGATTTTGACTGTTCTAGCAACTATGACTACTCTTGGAGAAATCCAAGCTGGTTAATATTATCATGTATTGGCTGCCTCCTATGAGATTACTGCCATGTGCTCTAATGGAGATGCCCTTGAAAGAAACCCAGAAATTACAATGGGTCTAGAATGCTTCAGCCAGCTTTCTGTTGGGTGTTTCTCTGTAGGAGCACATTCTCATGTTCTGGCTAAGTTATACAGGCTTCCAAGAGATTCCACCTTAGATTCAAGATGCTTGTTATGACATAGAAATCACAAGTCAATTTGGGTCCTATTTACTCAAAAGAATGGCTTCCCCTATATCCAAGGAGCTACAATTTTGGAGTAAAGACCTACTGTATGTAAGGTTTGCCCCGTTCGACAGAGAAACTCCCGTGACACGTGTGGTTCACAAAAGA